GGGACAGGAGGTGGCCAGAGGGGTTTGAGGGCAGGAGTTGAGGGGCTCTGGGTGGTCCTGGGACTGTGAGGTCTCAGGCTCATCCAGAACTTTATCTTAAGAACAATGAGCGCCCGGCTTAGTGGCATGGCTCAGTGGTTGGGCGTCGATCCCTGAACCAGGAAGTCACAGTTCGATCCTGGGTCAGGGCATACGCCTGGATTTTGAGCTCAGCCCTCAGTAGGGGGTGTGCAGGAGGCAGCCTATCGATGTCTCTCTCATCATTGATATTTCTCTCCTCTCTGAAATCAATAAAAAAATATTTTTTCAAAAAAGAACAATGAGCAACCAGTGAAAGGTTTAAAACAGGGAAATGACATGATCATATTTGTGATTTATGTCCAAAAAGTTCCCTCTAAATGTGGCGTGGAAATTGGGCGAAGGGAGACCAACTGGAGATGAGGACAGCCGTGTTCCCGCTTCCTTGTCTGTCCCACGACTCCCTCCGTGTCCCCGACACCACTGAGAGGTGCAGTGAGGAAAGGGCGAGCCGCCTGCCTCCCAGAGCTTCCTTTGTGTGGGCTGTGGGACTGCCAGGTCCTCTCAGATGACAGCAAGTGCTGGAGGCCAGGGCCAGGCAGCAGGACAGAGTGGTGGTGGGTGGGGATTGGAGGGCCCTGGGAGGTGACGTGGAATCTGAGACAAGCCATAGGAAGTGGGCTCAGAGCAGTGGGCAGGGGCCCAGGCGCCGGACGTTGCAGCCGAGGGAAGGAGCCGGGTTTTGCTCAGAATGCCAGCCGCTGGAGGTTCCTCAGGGCTGGTCAGGGGGTGGTTGCTGTCGTCTAGACCAGAGGTGAGGATGGCCCACCTCAGGCTGGTGGCTGGAGGTGGAGCGAAGTGAGATATGATTTGGGGGAAGACCAGACAGGAACTGCTGATGAGTTGGAGTGTGACGGGGACCTAAAGGCTCTAGGGTCGGCCCCATTTGCCAGGCCTCTGAGGCCTGTGGGCGCCGTGCTGGGCTGTTGTCTGAGGTCACAGCAAGTGGGAGACAGGGCCAGCGCCAGGGGAGATTTGGAAAGCCCAGGTGTGGGGGTGAGCCAGCCCCTGCTGAGACCCCTCTCTCTGCAGCTGTCGTCCTTGACACGGGCTCACCAGGAGGCTCTTTCCAGTTTGACCAGCAAAGCCGAGGGCTTGGAGAAGTCTCTGACCGGTCTGGAAACCAGCAGGGCCGGGGAAGCCAAGGAGCTGGCCATGGCCCAGAGGGAGGCTGAGCTGCTGCGGGAGCAGCTGAGGTAAGTTGGTGGGTGGCCAAGGGGGGCCCAGCAGGTGGTGCCCCCTGATGGCTGTCCTATTCCCACACTCATCCTAGCAAGACCCAAGAAGACTTGGAGGCTCAGGTGACCTTGGTTGAGAAGCTAAGGAGATATGTGGGGGAACAAGTTCCCCCCGAGATTCACGGCCAGGCATGGGAGTCAGAGCGACTGAAACTTCTAGAGACCGTGCAGGTGAGGGTGCAGGGCACATCTGTGCAGGTGGGTGGCCCAGGACCTGGGAGGACCTGCCCCAGGAGGGAGGGTGCAGACCGGTGCTCTCCGCCCTGCTCCCTGGCAGCACTTGCAGGAGGACCGGGATGGCCTGCACACAACGGCGGAGCTGCTGCAGGTGCGCGTGCAGAGCCTCACGTACATCCTGTCCATGCAGGAAGAGGAGCTGGCCAGGAAGGTAGGACCCTCGCCTCCCTGTGGGCGGGCCCTGCTGAGAGCTCCCCTCCCTGTACACACACCTCTGCTCTCTGTGGCTCCTGTCACCTGGGCAGCCCAGAGAGAAACCAAGATGCAGCTTCCTCCTCTGCTCCCCAGGAGCCACACGACCGCTTCCCCCGCCCACAGGTGCAACCGTCAGATTCCCTGGAGCCCGAGTTCTCCAGGAAGAGCCAGGCCCTGCTGAAGCACTGGCGGGAGAAGGTGTTTGCCCTCATGGTGCAGCTAAAGGCCCAGGAACTGGAGCACGGAGCCTGCGTGCAGCAGCTGAAGGGACAGGTCACTTGGCGTTCTTCCTCCCCATGGTTATCCCTGTTTCCTTTACATAAGGGGTGGCATTTAGTTAACTAGCGTTACCGAGTGGCTGCCACGAGCTGGGAGCAGCCCTAAACAAAGACAGAGCTTAGGTCCTGGAGCAGACACAACAGGCAACGCAGACAGGTAACGTCAAGAAATCCTGTGTGCTGTGAAGAGTGGGGTGACCCACCACACGACAGACCAGGGGGCAGCCTTAGGTGCGATGGTGAGGTATGGCCCTCCTCCTGGCGCAGGGCACAGGCTTTGCGTGGAGACCTGGACTCAGGAAGCCAAGTTTCTTGTCTCCCCGGATGGAGTTCATTTTGAGACCTTTGTCCTGCCCCTTCGATCCCAGTGCCCGCCTGCCTCTTCTTCCCCAGGTGGCAGAGTTCCAGGAAAGAGTGGCTGCCCAGAGCCAGGAGCAAGCCATCCTGCAGCGCTCCCTGGAGGACAAAGCTGCGCAGGTGGAGGTGGAGCGGATGGGCGCCAAGGTCAGAATTGGCCACAGTCAGGGGCTAAGGGAGGCCTGGGAGCCCTGGTCAGTGGGCCAAGGCCCCAGAGAAAGGACCCTTTCCTTTATTGTCTCCTTCACAGTCCCTGCAGATGGAGCTGAGCCGTGCCCAGGAAGCCTGTCGCCGGGGGCAGCAGCAGACAGCCTCGGCTGAGGAGCAGCTGAAGTGTGTGGCCAGAGCTATCAACAGGTGTCTGGGTAGAGGTGGGGGTGCTGTGGGTGGAGTAGGATTTCTGCTTCCCCAGCTTCTGAGACACCTTGGAGTTTAAGAGCCTTAGGCAAGCACAGCTAGAAAGATGGCCACTGGAAGGTGCAGACTGGAGGGACTTAGCTACTGGGGGGTGTGGGCTGGAGGGACTTAGCTACTGGGGGGTGTGGGCTGGAGGGACTTAGCTACTGGGGGGTGTGGGCTGGAGGGACTTAGCTACTGGGGGGTGTGGGCTGGAGGGACTTAGCCTCTGGAGGATGTGGGCTGAGGGACTTAGCTGCTGGGGTGCAGGGTTCGAGGGACTTCACTGCAGGTGGTGGTCGTGCAGGGCTGGAGAACGTAGCCATGTTAAAGCTCCTGTGTTCATTTTCTGGGGCAGTGCCTCTGCATTCACACGAGGGTCACTCTGACTGCCACTGCCTGTGTGACTCGAGGTGAAGAAGCTTCCTCCTGCATTTGGTCCAGTAACAGCTTGAGCTAGTGGAGCACTGGGAGGATCCCACCTTCACAGCTGTTCTTGGATGGGGCCCGGTGCATGAAATTCGGGCACAGGGGGGTGGTCTCTGCTGTGCCGAGGGATACAACAGGCAGCCTTTGTGTCTGCCTGTTTTTCTGTTGGCGGAGACTTGACTGCCCCTGAGTTCCAGCCCTGCCCCTGGATGCTGCCATGCCCCCCGGCTCCCCCCCCCCCCCGGGCCTGTTTAGGCTTCTGGGCCTTTTGAGCCACTTTGGTTCTGGTGGGGGCACAGCCAGCCAACAAAGGGATGCCCCTGGCCTTCACTGGGAGGGATGACGGTGATCTCTGATGTCACTTAATGCTTCTTGGGAATGGGCCCCTTAGAAAACCAACGGAGGCCATGGCTCTGTTCCTTAGGAAGAGGCACCTAAGTGCACACCCCCTGAGTGCAGCACACGTGCTGGGGGAGGCCCCGACCTGCAGAGGAACCAGGGGCCTGGGGTGGAAGTCTAAATCCGCTAGAGATGAGCCAGCCTGTGGCACTCGCCTTGGCCCCGCAGAGCCGTGTCTGCTGGCCCCTGGCTGCAGAGGCATCTGGGCCCAGAGGAGGTGTGCCCATGAACCTCGTGGCGGCTTTACTGCTGGGACCAGAGGAGAAGCTGGGGGACCAGGAGCTCATGAGCAGCTGGGCCCTTTGATGTGGCAGTCACTCCGGGCTCAGGCCCCAGGTTTTCCTGTTCTATCAGCCAAGGAGCCCGGGCACAACTTGGCTTCAGCTTTTCTTTTCCCAGCTTCGATTTCCTTCCCTGCTGCCTGCAGGTCCGCCGCTGAACAGGCTGGAGGGAGGTGTTCTACAGCAGGTCAAGTCCTGGGGATGAGGTGGGGTGGAAGGTGACTGGCCTTGTATCTTGTCCAGCTTTCAGACCTGGATCCAGAACACCATGGCCGAGGTGGAGCAGGCTGCAGCCCGGCTGCCCAGCCTCAGTAGCCGAGTCAGCTATGCCGTCCGCAAGGTCCACACTATTCAGGGTGGGTAGGCAGCTGCCAGACCAGACCCGCCCCGCCCCGCCCCACCAGCTCTCTGTTGCCTGTGTCCATCCTCCTACCTTCTCATCAGTCGGAGCCTTTTCCCCTTCCTCCCCACCTCCCTTTCCTCTCTGAATGCTGCTGCTGTCTGCCTTCCTCCAGGTCTAATGGCTCGAAAACTGGTCCTTGCTCAGCTGCGCCAGGAGAGGTGAAGTTTGGGGCACTTGGAAGTGGATTGAGGATGGTGGTGGGGCTTTCAGGTGTTGGTTGTTGGGACCCAAAACAATAGGAATGAGGAGGGATGGGGTGAAGGAGTCAGGCAGCTGGGTGACCCCTCCCCCACTCTGTCTCAGCCACCCCCCAGCCCCACCAACCAAGGAGGTGAGCCTTGAGTTGGAGCAGCTGCGGGAAGAGCGGAACCGCCTGGATGCAGAGGTGCAGCTCAGTGCCCACATCATCCAGCAGGAGGTGGGCCGGGCCCGGGAGCAAGGTACGCTTGGTCGCCTGGCCTGGGTCCCTGTCTTAAAGCTGGGACAGAGTTGGCACGCTGGGGGCTGGGGGCTGGGGGCTGGGGCCGAGGACATGGAGAGGACCAAGGGAGCCTGAGCCCACCGCTTCCCAGGGGAGGCGGAGAGGCAGCAGCTGAGTGAGGTGGCCCAGCAGCTGGAGCAGGAACTGCGGCGGACCCAGGAGTCCCTGGCCAGTGTGGGGCTGCAGCTGGAAGCGGCTCGCCAGGGCCAGCAGGAGAGCATGGAGGAGGCCGCCAGCCTGCGGCAGGAACTGACCCAGCAGCAGGAGGTCTACGGGCAAGGTGTGCAGCAGGGAGATGGGGGTGTTGGGTGGGGTCCATGAGCCACGGCTCCCCGACACCCCATGTGCACCTTCACCCCAGCTCTGCAAGAGAAAGTGGCAGAAGTGGAATCCCGGCTGCGGGAACAGCTCTCAGAAGCAGAAAGGAGACTGAACGAGGCCCGGAGGGAGCACGCCAAGGCTGGTGAGGCTCGCGGGTGGACGTGGGCGTCCAGGACGTGGACGTGTGTAGACACAGGTTATTTTAGAAGCTTTCTGGGAAGCTTCCTTGGAAGGTGCTGGAGTTACCAGGGAACGGCCAGCTGAGTTCTCAGGGCAAGCACCCAGGTAGCCAGCACCCTCCACAGAGGCGACACCCTTCCACGCCTCCCCACCGAGGACCCCCAGCTCTTTAGTAGGAAAAATGTCTAACCCCCCGCAAGGGAGGACAGTCCTGTGATGAGCGCCTGCACCGTCCTTCTGCGCCTCGACCCAGCCCTCGCTCACGCCCTCGCTCACCTGCCACACTGGCTCCTCTGTGCACACACCACCAGACACATTTCTGGGGAGTCAGTGAATTACAAGCATCATGGCTGTTGACCTGCATCTCCTACAGAGAGGAAAGTGTCCCATAAGCCTCAGCGCCATTGCCACATTGACGAAAATGTACATTTGTTGGACAAAATCTAATACTCAGTTCATATCCAGATTTCCCCTCAGGGCTCCGGGAAGGTTCGGGTGGGGAGCAGATTGACAGGGTCCTAGAGCGGCAACCCCTCTCCCTGTACAGAAGGGTGGTCACCAAGCTAGGACCCAACTCTCCTGCCCATCATCCCAGTCTTGTTTTCATGGTGCTCCGTGACCTCTGGGCGGCCCCACACCTGCCCCCTGCTTCCCCACAGTGGTCTCCCTGGGCCAGATGCAGCGCAAAGCCACCCGGGAAAAGGAACGGAACCAGGAGCTCAGGCGCCTGCAGGAAGAGGCCCGGAAGGAGGAGGGGCTGCGGCTGACCCAGCGCCTGCAGGAGCTGCAGAGGGACAAGAACCTCCTGCTGGTAGGGGAGGCGGAGGCTGGGCTGGTGGGGAGTAGCGGTGTGGAGAGAAGGGGGGAGGCTCTGCCCTGCTAGGCGGCGTTGAACCCTCTCCTTCCCAGGCCACCTTGCAGCAGGAGGGTCTCCTCTCCCATTACAAGCAGCAGCGACTGTTGGCAGTCCTTCCCCCCCTGGATAAGGGGGGGTCTGCGCGGCCCAGCCCCCGGCCGGCAGGGCCATCGGCAACAGCACCTCCAGCAGCAGTGCTTGGCCCCAGGGCAGCCACTAAAGGTAGTGGTCTAAGTGGGAAGGGACAGATGGTGTGTGGGGTGGGGGAGCACTTCGGGAACCTCTACCCCAGATACTCCAGTGCATGAGCCTTGTTCTCTGTGACCCTTTATTCACATCTGCCACGGACCCGAGAACCTCCTCCCTCAGCCTCCCCACCCCCAGGGGCAGCCCTGCTCCTCTGCACAGGACCTCATGGCCTTCTCTTGTCTGGCTCCATCCCCTGGTCTTTCCCAGAATCCCTCTCTGTCCTGCTGGATGACCTGAAGAGTCTGAGTGAGGCCATTTCCAAAGAGGAGGCCGTTTCTCAAGGAGACAACCAGAACTCTCCTGCGGCCAGGGGCTCGGAGTGCCTGGGGACTCAGGGGGGCCCAGCGGGCCAGGAGGATCGTGAAATGGGGTGAGGTTTGGGGGCCTGCCCTCAGGGATACCAGCCACCAAGGTGTCTGGATTTTGTGCCTCAATAAAGATGACTAAATAGCTCTAGCCGGTTTGGCTCAGTGGATAGAGCATCTGCCTGCGGACTGAAGGGTCCCGGGTTCAATTCCAGTCAAGGGCACATGCCCGGGTTGCAGACTCGATCCCTAGTGGGGGGCGTGCAGGAGGCAGCTGATCAATGATCTTCTCTCATCATTGATGTTTCTATCTTTCTTTCCCTCTTTCTTCCTTTCTGAAATCAATAAAAATATATGTTTTTTCAAAAAGATGACTAAATAGAGCCATTGCACAGACGTGTTGTCTCTGGGACTCCGTGCAGCCGCCGCCGGGAAACGGGGTCCCACACAGAGGGCGCCTTTCTCAGCCCCTTTCCTAGGTTGCTGGGAAGCTTTTTGAGAAGCCCCAGGTTTTCTTTATTCTCTAGTTTCAAACTCTTTACCTCTGGGAGGTGATCAGCACCAGAGTGAGGAGGATAAACCTTCACCCACTCGGCAGGCAGGGCCCCGACTCAGGGCCCGGGGGAGGAGGCGGGGGGGAGGGGAGGGGAAGGCAGGTCCCTGGGAGAGACGATGGACAAGTGCCCGATGAACAACGAGCGTTTCCAACAAGTGCTGTGAGAGAAAAGCAAGGACGGCGATATGACAGGCGCTGGCGGGGCGGGGCGGGGCGGCCTCTGAGGGTCAGGAAAGGCCTCTGAGGGGGACGTGGCTGGACCTGGGGTGGGTCCGGCTGTGCCGACCGGGAGGAGTCCCCGCAGGGCAGGCTGGAGGACTCACCCTGGGTCTGCAGAAAGCCCTCGAGTACTTTTATATTTTTAAAAAATATATTTTTGTTGATTTCAGAGGAAGGGATGGGAGACTGGGGGTCAAGCCTGCAACCTGGGAATCGAACCATGACTTCCTGGTTCATAGGTTGATGCTCAACCACTGAGCCAGTCGTCTGGGCTTGAGTACTTTTTTTTTCTTAAATATTTTTACTGATTTTAGAGAGAGGAAGAGAGAGAGAAACATTAATGATGAGAGAGGATCATTGATTGGCCCGCAACCTGGGCATGTGCCCTTGACGGAAATCGAACCCGGGACTCTTAAGTCTGCAGGCCGATGCTGTATCCACTGAGTCAAACCGGCGGTGTCTTGTGCTGCTGGGGGAGGCCCGGCGGGGAACTCATGGGGAGGAAGTGAGTTCTGTTTTGGCCGCATTACTTCTCACCTGTCGGCTGAGGAGCCCTTCCTGAGGGAAAGTCCCAGCAGGACTCCTGAGACTTAGACCTAAAGGGTGAGGGGGGAGGCAGGCAGAGTTGGAGCCAAGGTCAGGAGGGGGCTGGGGGGGCAGGAGGAGGTCCAGAGGGAGGACGGGAGGCTGGGATGACTGCGCTGAGAGCCTCTGGCGTGACTGCCGGAACAGCCTGAGGTGGAGAGAAGGAATCAGGAAGTCCTCGCCTTCCTGGCCCGCCCTCCGCTCCTGGAGGGAATTCCTCGAAGCCCCTCGCCTGGAGCAGGCGTGTGCTCCGAGCAGCTGCTTGGTCCTGAGGGAGTGGACCTTCCAGGGGAGGCCTGAGCCTCAGGGGGAGCTCAGACAGTGGAGGGCGGGGCTCTGACACCACTGACGCCCTCCCGGTGCATCCCAGGCATTCAGAGGAACCCACCCCTCCCGCCCTGCCCTCAGCCCTGTAATCACCCGGCCAGCCGGCTTGCTCCCATTCCTGGGCTTCCAGTGGCTTCGAGGAAAGAGGCGGAAGTCCCTGTGATGAGAGATGACAGTGGGAGACAAAAAGGAGGGACGCCAGCCTCCGGTTACACGTCAGCATGGCCTTCCAAGCGTGTTTGACTGGTTAGGCTCTGATGGGACTCCTGTGTCACTGGGCTGGCCCTCCCCAGAGATGGGCCTCCTCCCCTATAAAGCCTGTTGGGGTTCCCAGGCACCCAGGCTCAGCCCACCTCTGACATTGGGGGCCAGGAGACAGCCATGAGGCTCGACTGGAAGCTGCTGGGGATCCTGCTGCTTTGCCTGTACCCAGGAGGTGCGCTGGGAATAGAGGCGGGTGCGTTTGGGGTGAGGGGGATGGTCAAGGTGCGAAGAAGGCGGCCACTAAGGAGGGGTGACCTGGATGCATAGGGATGAGGAGGCTCTGGGAATTGGCTTGAGGGGCAGAGTTACAGGGACGGGAGAGGTGCGTGTAGCTCAGGGCGCATGTCTTGCTGGTTGGGAGGTAGCTCCATGTGGCCATTTAGGTCAGAATTCAGGTGTGCGGAGCTGAGGTCTATGTGAAGGAGGGTGGAGGTCACAGGGTGCCACTTGGGGCCAATGTGTAGACCATTTGGGGGCTGCAGACCAGCACAGGGGCCATGCCAGTGGGATGACCCAATCAGGGCTGGATGGAGCTTATTGGGGGTGAGGGGTTCCTCTCAGTTTAAAGGTCAAGTTAATGGCTTGGGACAGGGTTTTCATGTCATTTTAAGATCACTTCGGTGTTTTGTAAATGTGTGGGGAGTTATTTCTGAGGTCTGTGGGGTCCGCTCAGGCTGTGGTCCCTCCCAGGCAGGCTGTGTCCCCTGGGCCTGCAGCTGGCTGGGTCTGGCTCTGGCCTGCATCACTTCTTACCTTTCTCCTTCCTCCTCTATAGGCATCTCAGGCAGTGGAGACCACCCCCCTCCCCCACCGGCAGAGGCTGGACAGGAGGAGGGCTCCCCAACATTTCCTCAGGGTGCCCCCATCCCTGGTGACCCCTGGCCAGGGCCACCCCCTCTCTTTGAGGACCCTCCACCTCCAGGCCCCAGTCGTCCCTTGAGAGACCCGCCAGAATCTGGAGTCTGGCCGCCTAAGCCTCCTAGAACTGATCCCCCTAAACCTCCCCGGCCTGACGACCCCTGGCCAGCAGGACCCCAGCCTCCAGAAAACCCCTGGCCTCCTGCCCCTGAGACGGACCACTGGCCTCAGGAGGAGCCAGACCATGACCTGCCCCGGGAAGAGTACAGGTAGACCTCCCAGAGGCCGCCCGAGCCCATCTCTACTGCTTCCCCTGAATTAGCCAACCCTTCCTTCCTCACTCCCTCAATCGCATTCTCAGTCATGAAGGTGCGCTCTCAGCATTTCCTATCCCCTCCTGAGAGCCATATTTAGCGCCCACATCCCCCCTCTTTTTTCTCTAACAGCATAAGCATATATCCCTACCTCAGCCCAGTCCTCTCTTCTACTTGCGCCCGCCCTCCCACTCCCAACGCCCCTTTCCTGGGTCCCCTCACCGCTCTGTGCTCTCTGCTGCCACCTGGTGGCTTACACTAGGAACTGTCAGGAGGCAATGATGGTGCTTCTGTGAAATGGAAATAAAAAGCATTTTTTCTTAATTTTGAATTGAGGTTGATTCTTTCCCAATGATGAGGTCCATCCTCACAGCTACACCCCACAGACATTGGAAGTAACTTCAGCTCCTGGCTTTCCATGTGCTCCAGGACGTGGGACTCAGTCACAGGCGGCTGGAAGTGTAATGGACAAAAGGGTTCAGACCCATACCGCATCCGGGGACCCTGGTTTTGGAGAACGGAAGCCAAGCTAAGCCTCTCTTCACTAGCTCATAGTTTTTGCAGACCCCTGCACAGACACGGACGTTCCCAGGGCCATGTGCAGGAAGACCAATCAATATTGTTCATCACAATATTTGTAGTTCCTATCGATTGTGTCTTGTTATAATTGTAATTATAAGTTCACTGCAGAATAACTTTAACACTTAGAGTCTCATGGTCACAGGACATACACTTCAATTTATACACGTATCTTTGTTACAGAGATATACAATAAGGACTTTCCAAAAATACAATAAAATACACAGAAAAAGATACAACAAAAGAATTTCATTAGGATAAAACTCTAGAGGGAAAGTGGAACAGAAAAGAAAAAGAAATGAATTGAGTCTGCAGACGGCTCAAAGGCTTAGGCCAGGAGAGGGCGCTGATCACCCAGCTGCTCGAAGACAATTCCCTGGAAAGCATAGGAATTGCAAATGTTTAAACTCTTAATGGGAAATGTTAGCTGTTGACTTAAGAATATGTGAGGGGCACACTGCTTTTCAAAGTTCTTTTCCTAAAAATTTTTATTTATTGATTTGAGAGAGAGAAACATTGATTTGTTGTCCCACTTATTTATGATGCACCTGTTGTTTCTCGTATGTGCCCTGACCAGGGATCGAACCTGAAACTTTGGGGTATCAGCAAGCCGGTAGCTCAGTTGGTGAGAGTGTCATCCCAGGCACCAAAGGGTTGCCGGTTTGATCCCCGGTCTGGGCGAGTTAGGGAGGCAACCAATGTTTCTCTTGCACATTTATGTTTCTCTCCCTCTCTAAAATCAATTAAAAAACATATTCTCAGGTGAGCATTAAAAAAAATAAAATTCTTTTAGGGAGTATTTGAGCAGGAAAGTTCAAAGGGCAGGGTCCAGAGATCCTAACGACCTGTCAACTGAGGGGCTGACCCGGTGGGGACAGGAGGGGCAAGAAGAAACCGAGGGCTGGTGGCCTCAGACTTCATGCCGAGGAGCCGGTTTGCTTAGGTGGTGACTCCCACCAAAACCTGTAAGTGGTCAGTTTAAAAACAGCCCTAGATTTAGAGAATAATTTTGGAACAGACAATTTCATGGGCCCCAAAGTGGTCTGGGTTCACCATTCATTCATTCATTCATTCATTTGCTCGCTCAGTCATTATCTTATACCCTTACTACGTCCGTCAATGCTGGGTGCCCTGGGAGAGTATAAAGAATAAAAGTGTATAGTTTCCAGTCTCAGGAAGCTTAACATTAAACTGGGGGCACAAGGCTTACATGCAAAGTTACATCCGTCACAGGCAGCAGGGATGCATGTAACTGCATGGCTACATGAGGAAACACAGAAGCACGCTATAGCCTTGGCCTTCAACGCCCTGAGTTCCAACAAGACTCGAGGGGAGGGAGCTGAGCAGTCAGGGCAGGCTTCCCGGGGGAGCACACCTGGGAAGGGCAGGCTGCGTGTGTGCCTGGGCCTCCAGGGCTCCGCTCCCGGGGGCTGGTCCTGGCTGCAGGCCGCCTTCCTCTCCCCAGCCAGTCGGATTTCCCCATCCACCCTCCGCCGCCCTCCCAGCCACTGCTTGGGGTGCAGTTTTGCCTGGCCTCCTCCCTCGGCCTCTGGGGAGCAGAGACTGTTCTGCACCTTCCACTGCGACCTGCACCGTTTGGGAGCCTCCTGACCCCAGTGTGCTGCCCCCCTGCGGCTGCCGGGCCTGTGCCAGGCGCAGGGAGTGCTGGGCGCACCTGGAGATGAGACTCCACTGGCCCCCTCCCCCCAGCCCTAATGGCCACAGACACGGGCTCTCTACACCCAGTGCTCGGAGGCCAGGCTGCTCTCCGTGCGATTTCACTTGGCCTCTTTCCCTTCCAGGTCCATGTCCTTGAGACAGGCAGCCAGTCAGGACAAGCGGAGCAGGGAAACTGAGGCAGAACCGTTTATTAAAAACAGCAAGCAGTTTACAGCCATCAAAAATAAAAAACTCCCGTCTTCCCTGACCGAGGACACTTAAAAGTAAATGGTTTATTCTTCTCCTCAATCAGAGGGTAAACAGCTTAAATCACTCTACTCTGGGAGACAGACAGCAGAAATCTAATTAGTGATATTTATGCCACCCTCACCTAAGGGCAGACGAAGTTCAGGGAATAAATGTCATATTGGCGAATCAGCATAAAGCTGGTTGAGGTCCTCCCCTAAGACCTCCCTTAACACCCAGCCTTAAACCCTCAGGGAAGGACGTGGGCTGCCCTCCCCTGGAGCACGCCCCCTACCCCCTGCGCGCATCTCCTAAACCAGGGGTGGGAAAGCTTTTTGACTCGAGGGCCACAATGGGTTCTTAAACTGGACCAGAGGGCCGGAACAAAAGCATGGATGGAGTGTTTGTGTGAACTAATATAAATTCAAAGTAAACATCATTACATAAAAGGGTACTGTCTTATCCGGCCAGTGGGCTGTAGTTTGCCCACGGCTGTCCTAAACGCTAAGGGTCCACAAGAGGTTTGCAACCAGGGGAGCAATGGGCGGTGGCAGCTGCCCGGGGCTTACCCCTGAGCCTGTCTCCAAGGCCCCTCTCCTTCCACTTATCAGTGAGCCAGCAGCCCAGCCTGGGCTCTCCTGTTGCTTCTACCCTAGGCCCTTCCTTGTTTCACTGTCCCCAGCGTTAATAAACGTCCTCTCAAAATCATCTTTCCTGCAGGAAGCCAGGAGTTCACACACCACCAGCTGGCCTGTGCCAGTCCCCCTCTGGGCAGGTTCCAGTCTAGTAACATCCCTACCCCCTTCCGCTTCTCCCCACCCCATCACTTTTTAAATTTTATTATTATTTTTTTGTTAGTCCTCAAGGATATATTTTGCATTGATTTTTAGAGAGAGTAGAAGGGAGAGGGAGAGACAGAAACATTGATGTAAGAGAGACACATGGATTAGTTGCCTCCCGCACGTGCCCCACCAAGTGGGCAATCGAGCCTGCAACCAAGGTACACGCCCTTGACCGGAATCGAACCCAGGCCCCTTCAGTCCTTGGGCCAATGCTCTATTCCACTGAGCCAAACCGGCTAGGACCCTCCTCACTTTTTATTAATCCCTTTTACTTGAATATTTGTCCCAGGATCTGCTTCTGGTGAATCAACCTAAGACACAAAGTACAGTTCCCTGAAGACCATCACAGCTACTTTTTCCTGTGCCCGTGCTGTATGGTCACTGTTGTCAAAGCCCTACAGATTAAGCTTCCACTTAATTTGCACAATAACTCCACCATTT